CAGGAAAAGCTGGAGGCCGGAAAAGAGTGAGACAGGTAGCACGCAAAAGTAAAAGTGGAACCGAGAGTGGTACGAGAGACAGAACGAGAGCAAGACAGACAGACATTACGAGAGCGAGACAGTTTGTCCCCGTACCACTGGGTGAAAACCACTGCTGTAGATCACTGCCGGTACGTGTGCTGGGAGCGCACCGTTTAAGTTTGAAAGTTGAAAAGTTTGTGTGTCTGAAACGCTATGTGATACAGTACAGTTTACACAGTACATGTTCTGTAGCTGCTATTGCACTAAATGCTAACACTTGAATACGTTATGCAAATATGCAACTTGTTTGTTGAAATGTTAATAAATGGGAGCTTCCTCAAACAGCCATCTCTTTCCCGACAATCCCCTCTGTGCACGAACCCTTACATATGGTAATGAAACATTAAAACACCTGCGGCTTATAGTCCAGTGCGGCTTATATATGTACACATCATTCAATTTAGCTGCTGCGGCTTATATTCAGGTGCGCCTTATAGTCCGAAAATTACGGTATATATGTATTTAATATTTATATGTACATAAGAAAAACATTTGGCAATAAATTAAAATAAATATAATAGAAATATGAATATAAACATAAGTTGAAGTAAAAAAAGTGCAATAATAGGATAAAGTTGAATAAATAAAAATATTTAAATAAACATGAGAAGTTAAATAGAAATGTGCAACAGAAGTATACAAAATGAAATACAAACATTTATAAAAACCACAGGAAGTTGAAGTAAAATTGTGCAATAAAACGATAAATAAAAAAATAAATATAATAAAAATATTTATATAAACATAAGAAGTTCAATTTAAATCCTCAAAAACTAAATGATCCGTAATTTACAATACATGAAGTGTTGATTTGCACGGATAAATTAAAGAGTGTAACGACTTTTGGAATAAGAAAATTAATTAATTAATACATTTTAAAAATTAATCTAAACATATTTTTTTTCCTCTCACCTGGCTTTTCTTTAGCTCCTCCTCCAACTGCCTGATCCGAGTTTTGGACCAGGCTTTCATCTTCAGGAACTTTGTCTCCGATCTGCTCGCCTCGTCCGTCTTCTTCTTGGCTCGGCCTGCAAAAAGAAAACAAAGGGAGAAAGTTACTTTGAATAATAATAATAATAATCAAAGCTTTAGGAAAATCAACATGTTGTCTAAAATCATCCAACAGATTGAAAAGCATTGTAATTACAAAAAATACATCAGATTGTTTTTATTAAATCAGGTTCACAACAATTATCTTGGGTGAATATTTGATTAAGAACTACTACTACTACTTTTACTTTAGATCCAATTAAGAAATTACCACTTTATTTGATTCACATGTTGTGTATAGGGTCTTCTTGGCGTTAAAAGCAGAAGTTAGAAGTTTGAACTGATCCATGTATTTTCCGATGAAAGCCTCAAAAAACCTGAGAGATTTTCAGTTGAATTCTTCAATAAGTAAATGTAGCTTTCAGGAAGTAAAGGCAGCATTTAATACTAGACTTTTACACAAGTTACTTTACTCTGAAATGCAATTTAATTATTTTCCTTTGTCATAAATAAGTGTGTATTACATATTTTCTATTTTTAAACCAAAGATATACTTATTATTAATACACTTTTGGATCATTGAGCAGCCACAGTTAGATTAGTTCGTTGTGTATTTGCTTAGCGTTAAGTGTTTTTAGGTGGTTCATATTTCTGTATAACATGAACTCGCGTTATTAATATATATTTTAATTACTACCTGTTAAGTGTCTGAACTGAATTCTCAGACACCAGTCCCTATTCTCCATCCTGTCTCATGATATTCTTGTATTTTAACCCACCTTCAAGTTAAGGCAGCATTTGTTATTAGACTTTTACACAAATTACTTTACTCTGAAATGCAATCCAATTATTTTCATTTCACAAAAATATGTGCTTATTACATATTTTCTATTTTTAAACACATTTTCGTACTTATTAATATACTTTTGGACCATTTAGCAGCTAGTGTTAGATTAGTCGTTGTGTATTTGCTTAGCGTTAAGTGTTTTTAGGTGGTTCATATTTCTGTCTAACACATGAACTCTCCAATTCTAGACGTGTTATTAATATATATTTGATTAAATTATATTTTGAACTGAATTCTCAGACACTATTATTGACCGTATTGTTCTTGTATTTGTATTTTTATGGTAATGCTGTATTGTTTTGTAAGCGTACTGTTCTATGGTCACATTTTTAGTCACTTTATATATTAATCGTTTTTAGCTTTTATTGCCAAATGATACTTATACTGTCTGTTATGTGTGATTGCACCTTTGGGAATGCCTAGAATTTGGCAGTACTCTGTGTAGTGACGATAAAGGAATCTAATGTCTCTATTCTCCATCCTGTCTCATGACTGTTCTTGTACTTTAACCCACCTTCCAGCTCTGCTATCCTCTGATTGGAGGCTGAATCACTTCCTGTTTCCTCCTCCTCTCTGTGAGGAGGAGGTGCAGCAGACCTCCTGATCTCCTGCTGCTTCTGCTCCATCTGCTCCTGGAGCTCCTCCTTCACTCGCTGGACCTCCGCCTGCTGCTTCTCCATCAGGTCTCGCAGCTGCGCTCGCATCACGTGCTTCTCCGCCTCCATCTTGGACTCCAGACTCTCCCGTTCCACGTGCAGCCGGCGGAGACGCTCCGTGAGCTCCTGTGGGGAGAAAGGACGACGAGGAGAGAATGAAACACAAACGTCTTTCCCTTTGTTTTTGATAATGTTCCTTACTCTTTATTTGTTATCATTGTTGTTGTTTGTCATGGATATAGTCTTGTTCTGTAAAGCACTTTGAAGGGCTGCATCTTGCATGAAAGATACAATATAAATAAAGACTATTATTATTATTGTTTTTATTATGAACATTATTGATTGGGTAGTTTCATTTCTCTACATATTTGAAGAGGAATGCCTTTTACATTTATCAGGAGAGGAAAGTATCTGTATCTCATCCTATAGACGCCAGGCGTTATTAACAAACATGATGTAAGCCATTCCTCATACTCCATACTGTACATGTAAAGTCCTCTGTTTGATTTGTGTTCAATGATACTTCTTTTATAACTGCACAGATAAGGGGCTCCTTATTTTCATCTAAAGTAACAGACAGAGAATCAGCACTTTGGAAACAGGGCTGAAACAGAGGGGATTATGGGTAATGCTGCAATGATCCGTTTGGTGTTTGGAACCAAACACTTCAGAGACATGTTCTGTATATATCTGAGACCTATGATATATTGATGAAATACAGTGTGATAGGGAACTTTAAACCCCTTTGTCTCCTAAATTTGATCCAGTGATGTTGGTCAGTATCAGATCGATCAGTGCACCAAGAGGAAAGTAAATGTTAATTACCTTTATCTGTTGGTCCCTGCCGTCCACTTCCTGCTGGAGGACATCGATGACCTGAGTTTTTCCCAGCAGCACCTCCTCCTTCTCATAGAGCTTCTGCTTGAGAGCCTTCAAAAGCTGAGGAGGAGAGAAAAGAAGTGTTTAAACTTTGAATTACACAGAAGCATGTGCCTAGAGTAACAGGGTTCCTGCAGGTTTCACAAACTCAAATGTAAGAATTTTAAGACCTTTTTAAGACCACTTTGAATAGAATTTAAGACCCATTTCACGGCAAGAAAGTATGAAGGGGAATTGCTATGAAAGAAAAAATACGTCCCATAATTACTTATTAAGTAAATGTATTCACGTTCAAAATAAGAACGATGACTGATCTAGACGTGATCAGAAGTACCTTTCAAATCCGATCATTTTTAAGAACTTAAATCATAATTAAGACCTTTCTTATTTTTTTGATCATAGTTAAAGGTCACCTATCATGCTATTTTTAGGCAATAGCATAGGTCTCAGATTTATACAAATAAATAAAAAACATGTCTATGAAGTGTTTTGCTCAAAATATCAAACAGATCACCCATTCTAGCCATGCCTCATATCCCTCTATTTCACTTCCTGTTTCAAAAGTGATGATTAAAAATGAGACCCTGTGTCTTAATGAGATGTTCGCCTGTATAAATGAAGGCTAACATTTTTTTTTTTAAATTAAACTGAAAAGAATAAAAATAAGAGGGGGCGGAGCTTATGCCGGCTCATGCTATGCACCTGGCAGAAACTGTCTAAAATGCTGCGGTGATGAAACGTAAGGATTATTAGATCAAAGATTATGTCTGAAACAGTATGGAGCTCAAAGGCTTTCTCTCTTGCCGGTTATACCACAAGGTGAGTTCCTTTTTACTTCCTGCTTCTTCACACACATGCTCTCCAGTACAGGTTAGCTCTGAGTGTTAGCGATGCTAATGTAAACACCGACCATATTACGTCCAAAACAGTCGGGCATTGTTTCTGATAGCAACGTTTCTGATAGGGCCGTGGGTCCACATTTCAGATATTACGTCATATCGGACGCAAATCTGGATCAGCTCCGTTGTTCCCCCGTTTTTAGAGATTTGGGTACGGAGGAAAAGAGAGAGGGTTTTATTCTCTGACGCTGCGTGAGTTCCCCGACACACCGGGGACACATCTTTATGTATAAAAGACATCAAAAAGTGCATTTTGCATGATAGCTCCCCTTTAAGACTTTTTAAGACCCGGCGGGAACCCTGAGTAACTTATCTGAGGTAAGGAACTGAAACACTTTTAAACAGAATGACATCTTACAATGAAGCCATGAAAAGTACGTAAGTTGAGTGTTTCCTCACTGATTCATTAGGTCATGAGTGTTGTTGTCTCTACCTGCTCTA